TTTCATCGGGAATGTTTATCTAGAAAACGTTTTTTAAATCGAAACCTTGAACTGAAGGGTAATATAGAAAAAAGAGGTAAAAAAGCAGAGGCTGGGGTCAGAGAGGAGTTAACCTATTGAAAAAGGCAGATAAAAGGAAATGCCGCATTTTCTAATTTTCTGTAGCATAATTACAAAATGTTTCTACAGCCAAATACTAAAATATCAGTTAACATTTCTTTCCAGCACAGTGAACTGGTACTTAAAATCTAGCAGGTAAAGAAAGGAACCCTGCTGGCATGATCAACGAGGTGTTGGGTTGCTAAGGGCAAGGCGGTGTGGGGCAAACCCAACAGCCGTTCCTCTGGGAAAATGGATGCGGACTCCGGCTCCTGTCAAGGCTTATCAGCTTGGAAAACCTGCACAGACAGGGTCACTAAGAGCCAGAATCCAGGCAATGTAGTGGGCTGGGGGGACTTCCACAACATTCAAGGGATAAACTGATCCGATTTGATTTTATCATTTATCTCAAATATATGTTCATTTAATTCTAGGACCATCTGTAGTCGTTATCTAGTGCTGCTGGAACAAAAATGTAAGTGGATAGCTATAACAAATTTCTTCTATCATACTTTGGGAAGCAAGGTTGAATTCAGAATGTCTGTGGCCAGGCACTACTTGGAGATCTACAAGTGTCTTCCCCAGCAATCAGGAAAACTCAACACAGGGAACCTGGATCTAAAGGATGCACATCTTTGTTGATGTTAGGTCCCTCTGATCTCTCCTCCTGTGTTCAACAGAACTGGCTCTAATCTTGTCTCATTAATAGCACATAGGATAATTACATCAGATCACAAAATGGAGGCTACTGTGAGAATCATGGCTTAGCCTAACTGACACAAATTACGATGTGTGTGTGAGTGTATGCACAATTCGATCGGTAAGCCTCTGAAAGAAAAGTTATGAATTGAGTTCAGGCCATAGCCGTAACAGCGAGTGACAAGCCCTCAGAAATCTTGACCAGCAAGAGTCAGGCTGTCCACTTAGGGAGTTCGAGGGCAGTGTGAGGCTGCAGAGGGTGGTAGAAAAAGTACTAGACCAAAGTTAGGAGTTCGGGGTCCCAGTTTCCTTGTGTGTAAAATAACTCTCAAGATCCTTCTAGCTGCAAAATCCCGTAAGATACAAAATCAAATTGTAGTTGCTGTTGAGACTGACTTAAGGCCTGAATCTTAAAGGGGTGGGGTACCTTCAGTGGAATTGACACATTTAATTCATTTCACTTCAAACTGTTATAAATTCTGCTTAGTTTCTACACTTCTTCAGAAACAGGTAAAAAAAATTCTACAGGAATTAGATGCATATCGGAAGGACGAGATACTGTTTTTTTTAATCTCTTCTATTTTACAGCCTAACAATATGAAGTTTTCACAATCCTCTGAAATCTGAACATCTCACAGGCATATAAACATTCAACATGCAGACGGATGCAAACAAACGTCCTGGCGGATGTGCGACTGAAGAAGATCTGCAACCAACATCCTTTTCATACAACAATGTTCCCGTCTCTTTTCAATAATAATCAGAGAAGGCTGCTGAGCACATAAATCATAATCAGTTAATATTTCCCAAATATTTTATCACCCACCCACTGTCTTGTCATAGCAACCTTATCAGACAGTACAGACGGCTCTCTAGGATTTCCAAAGCGGTAAATCTTTACAGAAACAGATAGCTTCATCTTTCTCCAAGAGTGGCTGGTGGGCTTAGCCTGCTGACCTCCTGGTTTGCAGCCCAATACTTAATCAATGTTCAATGTGGTGTGCGCACACCCACACACTTGCTGTATCAACTCCAATGGTCAGCTCTCCAAAAATACTCTAGCAACTTATCTTTCCTAATAAGCTTACACTTTTTATTTGACGTGGGTGCTACCTTACCATACAATCTTGGAACATACTAAGTTAATTTCTATTCCATAAAATTGTGTTGCTCAAAAATATAATTTTGTAGTTCAAATGGGACTTTGAAAATAACAAAAACCGACCAGAGGATGTACACTGGTACAGACAGGATTTGGAAACACAGGGAATCCAGGGCGAATGATCCCTTCAGGACCTGTGGTGAGAGTGGCGATACGAGGAAGGTGGAGGGAGAGTGGGTTGGAAAGGGGGAACCGATTACAAGGATCTACATGTGACCTCCTCCCTGGGGGACGGACAACAGAAAATTGGGTCGAAGAGAGACGTCGGACAGGGCAAGGTATGACAAAATAATAATTTATAAATTTTCAAGGGTTAACGAGGGAGGGGGGAGCGGGAAGGGAGAGGAAAAAATGAGGACCTGATGCCAGAGGCTTAGATGGAGAGCAAATGCTTTGAGAATGATGAGGGCAATGAATGTACAAATGTGCTTTACACAATTGATGTATGTATGGATTGTGATAAGAGTTGTATGAGCCCCTAATAAAACAATTTAAAAAATGAAAATAACAAAAACCTTCAGAAATATGAGCTAAAAAGCCTCCCCAGAGCAACCACCAGTAGTCCTCGTGGCATAGTGGCCCTGAGCTGCTAACCACAAGGTCAGGAATTCTAACCCACCGGTTGCTCCACAGGAAAACAATGAGGCTGTGTGCTGTAGTAAAGATTCAAAGTCGGAGAAAATCAAAGGAGCAGTTGTACTGTGTCCTACAGGGTCGGTATGAATGAGTTTGGTTTGGAGTTTTGTTTTTTGAACCCCCACCGGTGCACTGTAGCCTGGGAGAATCTTCTAGAGAGAGAGGCAGTTCTCCACTTTCCCAGCAGACTTCAGTCCCCTCAAATATGAAAATGGTAACACAGTTAATGCTCTGTTCGCCTCATGTTGATATTACTTACTCAGATTCTCTTCACTGTGTAGTATAACTTTACTCTTCCTCTCTCTCTTCAACATAGTCTAATGCGTCTTTGAAAAAACTCAGTTTAAAGCAAAAATCTATTGACCTTTGGTTTCAATGATATGTCATTTCTCTGAGATGCAGACTATCCAATAATCAACCTGCTTTCTACAAATACTTAAAACATACACAGATTCATTAAAAAAGTTATCCTGATTTTGGAATCAGCTTTTTACTAAGATAAGCACCTTTGTGTGGTTGCTGTGTGCCGCCAACTAACACTGACCCTGCAGTACAGAGTGGTTCTCAACTTGTGGGTTGCGACCCCTTTGGGAGTCAAACAGCCCTCTTACAGGTGTCACCCAATTCATAACAGTAGCAAAATTATGGTTATGAAGTAGCAACAAAACTAATTTTATGGTTGGGGGGGTCACCACCACATGAGGAAGTGTATTAAAGGGTGCAGGCATTAGGAAGGTTGAGAAGCACTGTCCAAGGGCATCCTAAACCATGCTCTTTCACCAGCAGTCCTCTAACCCTATGGAGCAGCTGGTTGCTTTAAGCTGCCAACCTTTAGGTTAACAGCCGAGCACTTAATCACTGCAGCACTGGGGCGCCTTTCCAGCAGCTTCAGTTTTCAACACTTCAACAACAAGAGGCAGGATGAGCAGTCAATCGAGACAAATCACTGTGGCCCTGAAGCTGCCAAATGACAGGTGTGGTACCTGAAATAATAAGCTTTTTAAAAGGAATAGGCTTAACTTTCCTATGGAACTGGCTAGTGAACTCAGTTTCCCTTCCTTAAATTGGTGAGAAATCTGTATCCCCACATCTGTCATTGTTCGGAAGACTGCTTCCAAGAACATATATTGATTCAAGTACTAGGTGACAAATGTATCATGAACCCATCTGTTTTCTAATCAAAAGTCCTACTTCAGTTAGTTTTGTTTCGTCACAGTGCCACAGTAGGGGGAGCAGTACACTGGTACAGCATTTCCCTCCTTTCTACAAAGGAGCACTGGTGGTGCTGTGGGATGGGGTTGGGCTGCTATCTGCAAAGTTGGCGGGTTCAAACACACCAGCCATTCTTGTTGGGAAAGATGAGGCTGTGCCCATAAAGGTTTTATAGTCTCTGAAACAATAAGCTGATGCCAAGGGCTCAAGTAGAAAGAAAATGTTTTGAAAATGATGATGGACACATGCACAAATAATGTATGTAAGTATGGATTGTGGTAAGAGCTGTAAGAGACCCCAATAAAATGAGTTAAAAAAAAGATTTTATAGTCTCAGAAACTTGGTGGCTATGGTTGTATAGTATATTACAGTACTATTACAGAGAACACAGATCAATCAATGGCCTGAAACTAGTCTCAAAAACAGGGCCTTTCTGCTGGACATCCACTTACAGAAGGGTCACCGGGAGGAGACAAGCCAGTCAGGGTACAGTAAAGCAACGATGAAGCACACAACTTTCCTCTAGTTCTTTAATGGTTCCTCCCCCCACCCCCACTACCATGATCCCAATTCTACCTTACAAATCTGGCTAAACCAGAGGCTGTACACTGATACAGATAAGAGCTGGAAACAGGGAATCCAGAACAGATGAACCTCTCAGGACCAGTGGCGAGAGTGTGGACACCCGGAGGGTGGAGGGAAAGTGGGGTAGAAAGAGGGAACCAATCACAAGCCCCTACATAAAAGCCCCTACCTGGGGGACGGACAACAGAAAATTGGGTCGAAGAGAGACGTCAGACCGTGTGAGACATGACAAAATAATAATTTATAAATTATCAAGGGTTCGTGAGGCAGGGGGCGCAGGGAGGGAAGGGAAAAATGAGGAGCTGATACCAAGGGCTCAAGTAGAAAGCAAATGTTTTGAAAATGATGATGGCAATAAATATACAAATGTGCTTGACACATAGATGTAAGTATGGATTATGATGAGTTGTAAAAGCCCCCAATAAAATGATTTTAAAGAGAAAACAAAAAATAATTTAAAAATTTAACAACAGGGCCTTTACAAACTTCAATCTGTTTATAATTCAGATTATGATTACTTTTCCTTTGAATGATGGTTTCCTCTGGAATTACAAAGGGAAAGAAAAAAGGGAACAGGAAAATCCCCAGGTGGAAATAAGTAGCTTACCTTAATCTTTTTTTAAGTTGTAAACTGTCATGGATGATCCTTTTGATAAATTCTAATTCACCCCCTTCTGCCATGATCTCTGTGATACCTCCAGTGTTCACAGAACTTGGTGGGGGTCTTCGAGCATTCCGAGAATTTACACCCTGAACAACATGGAAAATGTTGGGGTGAAAAGTTTTACTTTTAAGAATCAAGTCTGTGAATGTAAATCTAGCTCTAAATAAGACTGTTACATATAATTTTACATACCAAATACTATACTAGATCTAGGATTTAAGTCTTATAGGCCCCCTCCCCGCCAAAATAGTCTTATAGCCACTGCAATATGATATTTCACCAACTATATTTATGCAAGTATTCTTTTCCTCTTTGTAACTGAATGTAATTGAATGTCATTCAATTTGTCGCTTTTTCTTTATTTCTCTCTTTGGTATCACACACAGAAAACACATAAAAAATTAAATAAATATCCACATACATCTTTTTTTTCTATTATTGTATGATTCTAAATGTAAACATCTGAATCACCCCTACCTGATAACACATAAAAAAAATAACTCAAAATAGATCGCAACCTTAGATTTGAAAATGCTATTTTAAAAAGACAAGCAACACAAGGAAAAACAGATTAATCGGAAGTCATCAAATTTAAAGCATTTGTACATCAAAAAATGGGACCATCAACAGTAAAAAAGAAAAAAATCATCTAATGGGAAAAAATAATTGCATATCACATATCTGGATGAAGGATTAATGTCCAGATTATAAAGAATTCTGTAAGTCAACGACAAAGAACCCAATTAAAAACAAATGGCCAGTGGGCTTAAATAGGCACTTCTCCCACAAGGAAATGGCCAACAAGCACTTGGGAAGATACTCACACCATTTGAAACTGGCTGCCATCAAGTCAGTTCAGACACCACGTGTGTCAGAGCAGAACTTACTAGTCATGCGGGAAATGCAAATCAAAACCACTGAGATCTCCATCAAAACCAGAAAATTGCTTTCCTGGCTTTCTTCTGGATCTCTGTGCCTTTTGATAAAAGACCGTCTAATTCCCAAGGATCCAATTCCTGTATAATCTCCCCAAAGGTGAAGGCTTTAAGAGAAGTGTTTACAGGTAGCGCTTTAAGTTTGTACGAAAGGAAAATATTTATGTACTGAAAAAAAAATTTGTACAAAAGAAGCTACTAAGATGCTTATGAGGGGGTACCCCACAAAAAACTGCAATTGCACTGGGAGGAGTGGAACTTTCAGTTACCATTTTTCCTAATACAAGTGCATTGAGCTGAGTTAGTGCACCCAGTGGCGTTACCTGGGAAGTTTCTCTCTGGTCATAGTGAATTGTTTCGTAAAAGCAGTTCACTCAAACCTTGTTTTTTGTGATGGATGATTTAAGTGTGTGGCTCTGAATTTTGTTTCTTGCTCAGGAAAAATGCTAAGAAACTATTTTGATGTTGAAAATAGCTTACAAGGGCAGCACTATGGGAAAAATTCAAGTGTATGAGTGGTTTTCTCATTTTAAAAAAGATGAATGTCGATTGACGACAAACTTCATTCTAGACGTTTGTCAGCTTCCTGAACAGATGAATATGTCAATCCGTAGTGCATTTGGAGTTCATTCCAGCAGGTCAGACAGTTACTCAAGCTTTCTCTTTAGAGGTTCTAAAAAGATTGCCTAATAGTGAACAACAAAAAAGGCCTGATTTGTGGCAGATAGGGGACTGGTTTTGCCAGCATGACAATGCACCTGGCTCATCCAGCAATTTCAGTGCACCAGTTTTGCAAAAAACAGCATGCTTCTCTTGCCCCAGGCACCTTACACAGCGATCTGATGACATAAAAGAGGTGAAGGCAAAAACGTGGGAGGTGCTGTTAGATGAGCTTGGAAAATGCTTCCAAGAATGGAATCGCAGATTTGACAAATGTATTAAATGTAATGGGAAGTACTTTGAAGGCGATTAA